TATGTATGTATGTATGTATGTATGTATGTATGTATGTATGTATGTATGTATGTATGTATGTATGTATGTATGTATGTATGTATGTATGTATGTATGTATGTATGTATGTATGTATGTATGTATGTATGTATGTATGTATGTATGTATGTATGTATGTATGTATGTATGTATGTATGTATGTATGTATGTATGTATGTATGTATGTATGTATGTATGTATGTATGTATGTATGTATGTATGTATGTATGTATGTATGTATGTATGTATGTATGTATGTATGTATGTATGTATGTATGTATGTATGTATGTATGTATGTATGTATGTATGTATGTATGTATGTATGTATGTATGTATGTATGTATGTATGTATGTATGTATGTATGTATGTATGTATGTATGTATGTATGTATGTATGTATGTATGTATGTATGTATGTATGTATGTATGTATGTATGTATGTATGTATGTATGTATGTATGTATGTATGTATGTATGTATGTATGTATGTATGTATGTATGTATGTATGTATGTATGTATGTATGTATGTATGTATGTATGTATTATGTGTATGTATGTATGTATGTATGTATGTATGTATGTATGTATGTATGTATGTATGTATGTATGTATGTATGTATGTATGTATGTATGTATGTATGTATGTATGTATGTATGTATGTGTGTCCGTCCGCAAAATGAAGTGAGTGAGAAGGAAGCTCATGGGATAAACAAACCGCTAACAGAATCATGTAGCTCACAGGACTTTAGCTATTAGTGTTTTGCAATGGCATGATTGTGATAACACCCCAACGGCTACATAAACACCTACTGAGGTCACTTCCAGTTATTTCACATGGTGCTGCGGTGGCAGCTGAAGGTGAGTGGAAGGAGAGGGAGGGGGGGTGAAGTGTTCGAGGAGGGTAGGCGGGAAACCACCCCCAACAGGCCTAGGATGCAATTAGCTTTCGTAAGGTGATTTTAGGCCGTAAAGCGTACGCTGTGAAAGAAGGTCCCGGCGGTTGCGGGGGACCAACCTGGTTAACATAGATAAACAAAAAGATACGGTCGCTCGAAGTGTAACTCTTCAAAATGAAAAATCGACCATAATGATAACAGTGTCAGGATCCCAGCACGCTCTGTAATCATTCAGTCTACTGGTAGGCGGGTTCCACTAACCAGGAAAGGCATTCAACTTCCCATGGAACTTTGATTGAGACCCAGATATATCGATAGAGCTTCAAACGCTGATTACAAATATGGAAACTAAAACTGCAAAATGAACCTGCCAAGGAAGTTGTGAGCAGTCAAAGTTGGCTAAAGTAAAGCGTTACATATGAACCGTGCTATGTCCAGGCTTTCATTTAGCCGGTGGAGTAGTGAATAAATGACGCTCATTGCTCATCAGCCTGGGGGGGGGGGTCAACAGTTCTCCTCTGCTGAAGTGCAAATTTTGAGGGTACTCCCACTACTCCAGCGGTGACTTGAAAGCTCTGGAACTAGCACGGTTAATACGTAACGCTTAACCTGGAGCCAACTTTGACTGCTCACAACTTCCTCGGCAGGTTCATTTTGCAGTTTTAGCTCAGATGTTTGTAATCAGCGTTTGAAGCTCTATCCATATATCTGGGTCTCATCTCAAAGTTCCATGGGAAGTTGAATGCCTTTTCCTGGTAAGTTACTTCGGGCGTTCACTACAGATAAGGCTTGCTAGGCCGCTGCGGGCGAATTTCGCCGCGAATCTTTACCGCCTCGATCCCTTGGGGGCTTAGCCATACCAACTAGTAATTACAATTCACACTTCATTTGTCGTACACCTTGCGCTCAGCACCCAGCTATTTACGAGTAAAAATCTCCTTACTCTATGATAATATTAATTACGAAAAACGGGGCGGGTTCAGCCTCAACGGTTGCCCCGGACAACACCCAACAAAATTGTGCGTTCACTACGAGACCGCCGCTTGAGAAGGGACGTGGGGTCGCACCGCGCTGTACTTGTTATCATGTTAAAGGAGTGATCACGATGGATGAGGGCGATGTGGTTTAGATGATGTCATTCGATTTAAATGATGGACTAAACCCCCATCTGCGCCCTGGGCGTGGGGTTAGAATCGTCTCTTAGCGCACTTCCACCAATGACGTTCAATGACGTCGTCGAACCGCATACTCACGCCATCCATGCTATCATTGAAGGAAAGCGATTACGAAATAATTAACGAAGTGGTTAACAGACCTGCTAGTGCTCAATGGTACATCGGTGGCCGAAGAAAGCGAGAAATCCGTCCAAACAAGACGCAAAATGGACCCCCTTATTGCCTTGGATTTCACCCCGGCTGGGCAGGCGAAAAACTCAGAAAGGGCGGGCTCATAAACTAGTCCTAGCGCAACGCATTTGCACGTGCCATGCACCAAACCGCAGGCCAACGAGTTGCTCCTAATTGTGCAGCCTTTCTGCTAGCGCTGCTCGTCCAAATTCATACATTATACTAGTTAAAGTGAAATCGTTTTGGGTTGAAATATTTAGGTACCGGATATCTTAGTGTCGCTTTTCTGAGTTCAGGAAGTTTTGGGGCCGATTACTATGGAAAATCAATATCCCAGAAGGCAGTTTTTGCTCATTAATATTGCGAAATATGTTGCTTACCGTCTTCTATTGTTGGTTCACAATTTAACTTTCCCCCAATTTTTATACTTTCTTCTGAAAATTCCTGGGTCCAGTGTGCAAATTCGCATGTGTGTACCAAATGCTTCAAAATTCTTGCTGAGAGCTACAACCTCCGCCCACCAAACCAACATTGCATTTGATGGAGGGAATACTACCATTTAAAATGCTCATCGGTTTTTCACAGTTTTCTTAAAAGACAGTAAAGTCTTTGAAGGGATGCCCGCAACCGTCGCCAAAAAGGTGGTCCTAGCTAAATCAGTCAAAACGGGGCTGCACCAGTCTTGTGCTGGAATGGTAGGACACCCTAGCAGTTACTGATCGATGGTGCACAGACGCTCTAACGAAGTTGATTGACCAAGAAATTCTAATAAATGTGCTCATCTGCTACTCACGTGTGCTCAAAAAGGGTGCGTTTTTGACCCTATGTGGCAAAAAAGACTCCGGGAAAAATTGTCCAGTTGAGCTGGTAAGTAATAAATTTTCCACCAAACAGTGCAGACCCTACTCTAACTAAATGTATACATATTTTGTCCAGGCCCAACTGTTTAGCAAGGTAGAGGGATGATTTGTCAGATGATGTCAAATTCGACCTACCTCTCTTTTTCGTCTCAAAAAATTCCTAACTTTAATCGTACGAGGTTTTCACTCATACTGGTAAATGGGAAAGGGCTAATGAGTCATTCGATGGATATGCCGTTTCACTCACTGGATTTTGAATTAAAATATTGGTGGTCCGAAACTCGCGGTGAAAAAACGACACTAAGATATCCGGTACCTAATACTTTCGAAGTCCTGCTAACTTAAATAGCATACATTATACGAAGTTATACGAAAGCATACACTCGCTTTCTGGCACCATAGGTAATCTGATTCGTGTGGTGGCATCTGCCTCCCGTAAGGCTCCCACTTCATTGCGTAATCAGCTGCTGAGCCCATTGACTTTCTTAGTCAATACATTGTGTGAAGCTCTGCATTTGTTTCATGTAATGATCTCCATTAATATTATAGACGCCAGACAGTTGGGCAGGACCAATGGTCCGGTCCACGCGATCCAGCCGAGTACCTGACAGTTTTGATCTACAAGGTAAACTGAACATTTTGTAATATTTATTATCGAATATTGGTTTCAGGGAACCATAGCTAAAACTTTGATGAGAAATGCCATCTCGTGCCATTTGAAAAATGAATATTTTGAACGCGTGATTACGATGTGGCGAAACGAGGCTGAAAGGGACGCACCGCGACAGCACGCATGAGTGTTATATTTTGCGAAACATAACCAGTCATTTTGCGCACGCTGAAGAATGAACGCGGGCGAATAGGCTCTCCTGCGTGGGAAATTGCTAGCGGTAGCCCAACAAATTGCATATTTCAGGCGAAAGTCAGTGCAGGAACTCGTCTCTAACCCTGATCAAAACGATTTCCGTAAAACTCCAGTTGACTTCTCGAAGCTGTTTCGGCCAGGGCGACTTCTGAACGCCCTCCGACAAGTGACGGCAAAGGTGAGAATCGAGCTAACGGAGTGCTGTAATCAAAGTCGGAGCTCACCATACAGAACGGGTGCTTTTACAGATCGAGCGGTTGTACGATGGACATGCTGCGGCTCTCTTCTGCATGGGATTCGTCACTCATCGCAAATGATATTTCGATCCAAGTTCAGGTTAGAAATTTGACACAATTGCAAGCTAGGTTTAGGAGGCCTAAAGTGCTTGAGGCAGTAGGCACATAACAAGTTTGGGCATATCAGCCGCTATATTAGTGCCATCGGAGCCCTGCATGTCCTATTAAAGCCAAGAGTCTGCGTTACCCAAAAGCCAGTCTCTTCTAGAGTGGGAAATAGTGATCCACAAGGGCAGGAGCGATACTGTCGCGACTCAAAAGTGCGAAGGGCAAAGAGCTAAGGCCCATTGCCATTTTTTTTTGTGGTTGTTTTTTTATTTTTATTATGTTGTGGTGCCGTGCTACTATCCTCGTCAACCACAGCATACGTGGTCTCGCCCTCCCGCATACTACGTATTATCTCGCCTTCTTTCTCTCTTTGCAGCACTGTGTCTCTCTGACATACCACAGTCGGCCTTTGGAAATTTTAGTGTTTTCCATAATGCTTCTTGTTTCCTCTCTCCACTCACGTTCCTCATCGCGCTTACTGCCTGATATTTCACACAAAATAACACACCAGTTCGCACCGTGGCTTTAAGATTCCTGGTTCATTCGCTGTCATATGCCGTTTTTCTAGCCCTTCACTGCTACTGCTAGTTTAGTCCGATAAAATTGTTAACGGTCCTATGGAATCGCAAGAATAAGGCTCACACAGAGTATTAACCTTCAGGGGATCCTCCTACAAGGAGCGCTATTCGATGGCCAACTTCGTGACACCGTGGTCAGTACTCCACCAGTCACCACCGCTCCGCAGCTAACACTTGGTTGGACGAAAATCGTAAGTGAAATCATAAATTGCAGGTTTACGACTACTTGAAGCTCTTCTCGATGGTGCTGCTCGGGGGCGCCCCCCAAATTGCCCTATCCGCGGCTCTAACGGAGGAGGAAGAGGGGGGGGGGCATTTAACTGTATGTTAGTAAAAAACTTGGAATCGTGCGAGGTCGCTATATTCGTAGGTATGATGGGCAACCAATATAGGCGAGAGGGCGCAAACGAGGGCAGCACATTGACTCATTTTAAGGACCGGGTTCAAGTAATCCGAAGACGAAATGAAGACGGGGAAGACAGAGAAGACGTAGCGGAAAAACGGGACAGGCCCCTCGCGACAGAAGCGCGCGTCGTTGCTCCGCGAATTGAGCAACCATATACAACACAGTGATTCAAACGATGCATAAGAATTTTCTACAGGGATCTCCAACACAATACAAGGAGAGCGAGTCTGTGGCTGTACCGCTTTACACTGACGTTACACGCAGTGAATACATCGCTACCGTAGCGATGCCATGTCGGACGTCCACAATGGAATATTGCAGCTGTGGCATTATTTTTGAGATAGATTCTGAGTATTGTATTGATTTCGTGAAGATGTAGCTACCGGGTTCCTGACAGGAGGCCCGTCACGTGGCGAGAAGGCAGAGTCATGATTTCGCAATGCGTGCTGTGCGATGTAAAACGCACAATGGTACATTCTACTTGACTTGACGCGAAAATTATTACAGTACGCGCTGCGACTGGTCCCCTGATTCTGCTTTCTTGCTGTGCGAAGTGCCTTCCGGCCAAGTACCCGTGATTACCGTAGTGACCTGAAAACCCTTAATCATTTTCTCCATGGACTCTCATGTTGTTTACGTGTCATGCTAGTGTTGTGATAAATTTCCATGGTACTGCATTTCATAATTTGCTAGTTAATCCCGCCTTGAGAGTTGAGAGTGCTGAATAGTTGGGGAGGGGGGGGGGGGTGGGCAGTGCCGTCATAGCACACAGCCTGTCTGCGCCTTTTAGTGTGAAATGATAGATTCGTGAGGCAGCGGAACGTAGGCAGTTCAGGGGGAGGGCACGAATACCGATTGAACCTGTTGAAACCTCTATGAGTCTACCTGATGCAGCTGAAGTGAATTGATCACTTCAAGTGTGGACTTATCGGCTGTGATTGTTCCGCGGATGGTCTTGTTGACAAGGCTGAGACTTGCATGTATTCGTTGCACCTGAACATATGGCGAATGAAACGATGAAGTAACCTCCTAGTCCATGTCTATGTGAGGCCGATGTCAGACTTTGCGAATCGCGCGATTCGCTAGCGTCTGCGGTCGCGTCGCGGCCAGTGAATCACTCAATTGGCTGGTACCGCAACGCGACCGCGGACGCTAGCGAATCGCGCGATTCGCAAAGTCTGACATCGGCCTATGCGCTTCTGCGATGCGAGGATCGAGGGCATGCTGAGCGAGGACAAAAAACAGAGGGACATTCAGCCGCTTATCTATATAGTACTTACTGATGGGTCCTTCGCAGAGCTTTTTTTCAGTCGATGTGACAACGGTCGAGGATCCCTCGGAACGTGGGGATCCCTTTGCCTATTTGAAAGGAGGTCGTAGAGAGAACTGCGGGTCGTAAGTGCGAAAGAGTAAAATAATGAATTTGCTGTTTAGCCGTCATGTATATTTCCCTCCCCCTTAAGAGCACTTTTGGAGGAATTTTAAAGCGAAATCAGAGTCGAATCCCTTGTAGACCTCTCATAATTCCTTCCCGTAACGTGAAAATGCCTACATTTCGAGATTTAGCGTGAAACCACAATGAGACTCCTTATCTATTCCTCGTATGAGTTAATTGTAGATAGAAAGAGAAATGGAAGAAGCAGGCGGAGAAATCATGAACACTAGGATGAAAAATTCTAACCAATTTAACTGCGTGAATGAATTCCAACGACATCATCTCCGCCATGGGATCAGACGATTCTTTGATGGCGGGGATCTGCAAAATCACGAAATTTAACGCCCTTGTTTTGACAAGTACAGTAGGTAGTGTGAACGTGAGAAGGAATAAAACTACCTGTCTGTTATGCAGATCACCTCCTTGACATAGCCTTTTCCAGAGCTGCAAAATTGGATTGCAGGCGTCCGCCCAACGGCTGCGTTCGTTACCACTCAGAGTACTACCTGAAGAAAAATTCGTGATAAGGTGACATGGTTGAAATATGAATGTAGAAATGCCAAGCGGGCGTCTGTGAAAAATAAAAACAAGCGAAGTGGTCAACCCAGACATAAAAACAACATCCTCATTCCCCCCTCCCCCCCCCCCCCCCTCGTTGATTTTGAATTCGGACGACCTAGCCGTTTCGTGGCCACTGCAACAACACTCGCCTTTCATTATTAGTGGTTATTTCATATGTCAACGTTGTA